GGTGATGATGGTGGCGCCGAAGACGGATCACGCATCGTGCCAGACTGCAGACATGCTCGACTGTACAAAAAGCCTGCTGCGTCCACATCATCGCGTCGCGTCCACATCATCGCTCGACTGTACAAAGAGCCTGCTGCGTACAATGACCCAATCGCGTCGCGAGGCTGCGCAGTTTCCCGCACAGACCCCAGGCGCCACCTGCTAGCGCGACAAAAGGAAGAAGTCAAATGGGCAATCACCCGTCGGTGAAGCATTCGCCGATCATTCCAGCACTGGCGCGGGAGATGATCGCTCGTCCACCAACCCCTCGGGGATCGAGGCTCGCGACTCGGAGGAAACGCGCGCGAGCTCGAGCTCGGAGGGCATGGAGTGCACCAGAAGCCCTTGGTTCCGAAAGACGACCAAAGACGGCGCAAGAGGACGCCAGGACGGCCAAGGATGGCCCCAGGAGGTCGCCAGGAAGGGCCAAGAGGCCCCCAAGACGGCCCAGGGGTCCCCAAGAGGCCCCGAAGAGCGCAGGATGGGCATGGAGAGAGACCCCCAGAAAGGCCGAAGGACCACCAGAGTCCCCCAGAAACCGCAGTCATCCAACGTCTTCACGTCTCAAGCTTTCTGGCCCAATATTGCATTAGGAGTGCGGAAAACGGCCCAGGACGGCCAAGAATGGCGCGAGAACTTCCCCAGGCAGCCCAAGAGGCCCCAAGGAGGCTCCAAGTGCCCCAAGCGGGCCAAGAAGTCGCTGCAAAAGGGCGCCTCGCAAGGCCCTCGCAAAGGGATCTTTGGCGCATCGCAAAGGGCGCCAAAAAGGCCCAAGAGGTCCCAAGACGCTGCAAGATAGCCCAAGAGGGCCCCAAGACAGCCACCAGATAGCCCCACAAGGCACCGAGAGAGCACAACCAGTAGTTGCGAACCTTCCCCCCGTCACCCTCTCTCCGCCGCCTTCTACGATCACAATTCCTCCTCCCTATCCTCCAGACACGATCTGAATAATATGACTACATATCAACATACAACCATGAATATATATATATATATAGACATACATACATACATACATACATACATACACGTCCACATACACAGACATAGGCACATGCACATAGACATGCACATATACATATAAGTATACATATGCATGTACATATGCCTATACATTTATATGCGCAGCCCCCCCCCCCCCCAGCACCCACTGGTTTTCATCGCGGTTCGCGCTGATCGCACTCGCATTTTTTACTGCCAGATTCGGTTCTCGCCCTGAGACGGCGGCATCGAATAATGAACGTCATCTGGAGAGCCAACCACTTGATCATGCATCTCCTTCCCCTCTTTCACCTCGTCCATCCTCCTCCTCCTCCTCCTCCTCCTCCTCCTCCTCCTCCTCCTCCTCCTCCTCCTCAACCTCAGAAGATGCAAGCGTCCGCTTACCCCGCCTTTGGGAGAACAGGTATAAGATATCAGCGGCAGCGCTAACAAGAAAGATAAACGAACCATATGATTTCTCAGGCATTCCAAGGATGCACAGGGATGTTAAGTGACGATCGCTGTGCAGGCTCAGGGATCCCAGGGATTGCAGGGATGCGAAGTCACGATCCCTGAGCAGGCTCAGGAACCCCAGGGCTTCCAGGGATGCGAAGTCACGATCCCTGTGCAGGCTCAGGGATCCCAGGGATCCCAGGGATTCCTAACCCTCCAGCAAACCGACCTGGGGATCCACCAGCGATCCCGCGCTCAGAATCCCTGGGATCCCCGAGCCTGCTCAGGGATCGCGGCGTCGGTTGTCAGCAAACCAGATGATTTCTCAGGGATCCCAGGGATTCCAAGGATGGCAAGTCACGATCCCTGAGCAGGCTCAGGGATCCCAGGGATTCCAGGGATGCGAAGTCACGTTCCCTGTGCAGGCTCAGGGGTCCCATGGATTAGGAATCCCTAATCCCTGGGATCCCTGAGCCTGGGGATCGTGACCAGCATCCCTCAGGAATCCCTGGGATCCCTGAGCCTGCTCAGGGATCGTGACTTGGGCATCCCTGGAATCCCTGGGATCCCTGAGACATCATGATGGTTTGCTGACCACGTCGATCCCTGTGCGGCGATCCCGCATCGGAGCAGGCTCAAGTGACTCATCCAGGGATCCCTCTGAGCGCGAGAGACTCAGGAATCCCTGGGATCGGATCCCCAGGTCGGTTTTGCTGGAGGTTAGGAATCCCTGGGACCCTGGGATCCCTGGGGTCGGACTTCGCATCCCTGGAATCCCTGGGGTCCCTGAGCCTGCTCAGGGATCGTGACTTGCATCCTGGAATCCCTGGGATCCCTGAGAAATCATATGGTTTGCTGACAACCGACGTCGCGATCCCTGTGCGGGCTCAGGGACCCCAGGGATTCTGAGCGCGGGATCGCTGGTGGATCCCCAGGTCGGTTTTGCTGGAGGGTTGGGAATCCCTGGGATCCCTGGGATCCCTGAGCCTGCACAGGGATCGTGACTTCGCATCCCTGGAATCCCTGGGACCCTGAGCCTGCTCAGGGATCGTGACTTGCCATCCTTGGAATCCCTGGGATCCCTGAGAAATCATATGGTTTGCTGACCACCGACGTCGCGATCCCTGAGCAGGCTCAGGGATCCCAGGGATTCTGAGCGCGGGATCGCTGGTGGATCCCCAGGTCGGTTGTGCTGGAGGATTAGGAATCCCTGGGATCCCTGGGATCCCTGAGCCTGCACAGGGATCGTGACTTCACATCCCTGGAACCCCTGGGATCCCTGCGCCTGCTCAGGGATCGTGACTTGCCATCCTTGGAACCCATGGAATCCCTGAGAAATCATATGGTTTGCTGACAACCGACGTCGCGATCCCTGAGCAGGCTCAGGGATCCCAGGGATTCTGAACGCGGGATCGCTGGTGGATCCCCAGGTCGGTTTTGTTGGAGGGTTAGGAATCCCTGGGATCCCTGGGATCCCTGAGCCTGCACAGGGATGGTGACTTCGCATCCCTGGAAGCCCTGGGGTCCCTGAGCCTGCTCAGGGATCGTGACTTCGCATCCCTGGAATCCCTGGGATCCCTGAGCCTGCACAGCGATCGTCACTTAGCATCCCTGTGCATCCCTGGAATGCCTGAAAAATCATATGGTTCGCTTATCGTTCTTGTTAGCGTTGCCGCTGATATCTTATACCTGTTCTCCCAAAGGCGGGGGAAACGGACGCTTGCATCTTCTGAAGTTGCGTCAGAAAAAGCATTCCGCTTGCAACGCGTGACTCGGGAAGAGGAACGGAAAGGAGCAGGGACGATGAGAAGAGAATGCGTCTCCAGCTTCGTGGAAGAGGGAGAAGGCGTAGAGTGGGTGCTGGGGGGGTGTCCATTTATATTTATATATATATATATATATATATATATATATGTACATGTGCATAATACAAATGCATATAGATATACATATCACAACTACCCCCCCCCCCCCCCCAAAAAAAAAAAAAAAAAAAAAAAAAAGCACATATACATATATATATATATAAACATATATGTACGCATAACTATAAATAGGTGCACGTACATATGCATGTGCACCGTTTGCGAAAACATACACGCGCACGTTTATTTTTCATGTACATCTACATAAATATGCATATAGATACATACATATATATATATAGATATATACATACACATACGCATATACCATTACATGTACATAACTATGAATATGCATATGGATATGCATATACATATACCAGTACATAAACATATACATGTTTACAAATACAAACACCTGTACTTCAACATAGACATAAACATGAACAGGCATATACATGCACATGCGCATGTGCGCAAACATGTCTGTGCATATGTACACGTGTATGTAAATACACGTACATAAACACGAATACACATACGCATACATACACATACACATATACATATGCAGATGCATATGCCTATACATACGCATACACAGATACATATACAATTCCAAATACAAATACAAATATAAATACACATGCAAATGCAAATACAAATACACATTCAAATACGAACACTGTCATAGACACAGGCAGTATAATACATGAACATATACATATACATATACATATATAAATATACACATAGAACTGCACATACATCTATATTTATATATATGTATATGCAGATACATATACATATATATATATGTACATATACCTGCACATGTAGATATACATGTCCGTAAAAATATATATAGATATATACATATACATGTACAAACACACATACATATGCAAATACCTATACAAATACATATGCGCGCGCGTCATCCACCGCGCCTCCGGCACGAAGTCGACTGCCCCAGGGCTCATGCAGCACTGAAGGGTAGACGCTGCGCTGCGTCTGCAACGAGGAAAGAAATTCTTCAAAGCCCAAACCAGTCGGGCACTGGGCCCGGCGAGGCCTCGAGGGGGGCGGCCTGCGAGGCGCGCCCAGGCGGGCCTCGCCAAAGGCCAGCGCGACCTCGCTCCCCGAGCAGCAACCGGCTGCAGAAAATGTAAAGACCCGCTGCCCCGATCGCGTTACGACCCAGACAGATGCGGAGCAAGTGCGGCCCCGAATTCCTGCCCGACCCCCATAGGACCCACCCCGTCCGCGAGGGCGCGCCCCCCGTCGAGTGCCCCCCACGCCCGCGGCAGAAGGGGAAGGCGCGAACGGGCGAGCGCCTTCGCCGCGGGATGGCGCCCGCCAGTCACGGGGGCCCAGGGCGGCCCGCACAGCATGCGGTTGCAAAGCACGCGGCGGCCCTTCCGCCCCACCCCTGCTGCGAGCGGGCGAGAAGGCGCGACGCGCAGCCCCGAGGCCCTGCCAATCACCCGCGGGGCCCCCCCTCCCACCGCGAGGGCGCCCCCCCGTGTCGCGCCCCCCCCGGCCCGCGGTGAGCGGGCGCTCGCCTTCGCGCGGGCAAGCGCCCAACGGCGGCGGGGGTTCGGGCCCGCCCTCGAGGCGCGCGCAGGCGCGAGCGAGGGCCCCAGAACGGGGTCGCGCGACGCGACGACCAGACCCGAACGCATCTACAACTACACACAGCAAAACTGCACCTTGTTGCGGGGGCCAGGGGTGGCAATCATAATTCGATTTGGCGCGTCGGTCGGTCTGGGTGGACGGACATCGCCTCGTGACCCACGATGGAAGGCGATGGTCGTGCCGACGACGTTGCGTGCCAAGCGTGGAAGCGATCACCACGTTGCACGGCGAGGCTTGGCGGCAGCCGCAAGAAAAATCATAACACGAAAAAGCGCTCACGCTCGGACGGGGAATCCGGCACGAAGAAGAATTTGAAAGCGCGGGGGATCGGATCGCGAATTTGCCGCTGGGGCACAGGCGGGGGAGGGAAGCGGGTTGCGCGACGTCGAGGCCCCCAGGCATACGGC